GGAGGGAGGGAGGGAGGGCTCTCGGATTGCTCTTTGAATTGTTGCCATGGCTGTGATCACCAGCTCTTTCAGGGTGAGCCAAGGGCTGCTCCTGTAGGTGTGTGCAAATGTCAGTCTGTGGCTGTTCAGCCGGTGATGATGTGTTGTATTTGTGGCTGAGCAGTGTGCCTTTTGTATTTTTCCTGATAGGGGGAACATTGCAACTTTAGCCATGATATTGAGCTACCAAAGAAGAGGGAACTGTGCAAGTTTTATATCACTGGTTACTGTGCCAGAGCGGAGAATTGTCCCTACATGCATGATATCCTTTCCAGTCATTTCCCTTTAAAGTGTTTGCCTTTTTACTTCCAGCATTTTTAGGGGTGGGTTTTGGGATATCATCTGTCCCCAGATTTGCCTCTCCTCACTTGGAGGACTGGCTAGCTGCAGGCTGTATGCCAGTTTTCATCTGAAAGGGGATCTGAATGCCTTGTGGTCATGGTGAAAGCAAGGGGTTGTGTCCTGGCTGTGACTCCTTAGAAAGGTGGGATCTTGAGCCTGGCAGGTTTTATTTCTTTGGTCCTTCGGCTGTGTCTTGCTTTCCTGAACACCTTGCATGGGACTTCCCTTGTAAGCTGTTTCATACCACTGGGAATTGCATTAATGGAGATGACTGCATGTTCTCGCACGAACCCCTCACTGATGAAACCCGGGAACTCCTGGATAAGGTAAAGAGGCTGAACGGGCACCAAGGTTTGCCCACTATACAGAGGGGCCTCAACCAGCACCTGGAGTTTAGCAGCCAGGAAGGCTCCAGCTCAGCACCGTGGGAGATGCAGGTAGAGGGACTGATCCCCTGCCTTTGCCTGTGACTCTGCGTTTGCCTTGCCTCTTAGATGTTGGCGGATGATGCAGAAGCTGGAGCAGAGGATGAGAAAGAAGTGGAGGAGTTAAAGAAACAGGGCATCAACCCATTACCCAAGCCACCTCCTGGGGTGGGATTGCTGCCCACTCCCCCACGGACCCCCAGGGCCCCCAGCTCCCACCTCCCCTAATGGCCGACCCATGCCTGGAGGGCCCCCTGCCCCCCCAACCCCCCCCACCTCTTCCTCCCCCAGGGCCACCACAGATG